GACAGGTAATACATTTTTTTTTATTGTTTCTGAGATGATGTCAGAGGCCCAAGACCAACCTGGGGCCCTGAGAACCATTGTGTATTCAAGGTTCAGTGGTGCCAAACAAATGTCCTATCTATCACTTATGCCTTGCTAATCCTTTTAATTGCTCTCTCCATTCTTTTCACAAGCCACCTGGTGTACAGGAGTTAATAGTTTAATAGAATTAAAGATTGTAGCAGAGTTTCTCAGAATTAAATCAGTATCGAGAACAGAGGAGGCTACATTCCTTTCAAGAGTTGCATTAGAACGAAGCACAGTGTCCATAACATTTCTTTGGTTCAGTACGTTGTGTGTCAACAGAATCAGGAAACAAATCAAAAGTTACAGTGACCATTCGAGAATCAGCCATTCTTCTATTCCTGGAGGGCCACGTATTCCTCCCGTGTGCCCAGTACCTTGACCCTGCCGAGCTCTAAGGATTTCTCACTTAGGCACCACGGGAGGGGACGTGGCAGCCGAGGAGAAAAATAATCGCTGGAAGTATGAGGTGTAGCAAGGGGAAGGAAGGTAGAGGGCAAGAGGGGGAGTCACAGAACGCGAAAAGGAGCCAATGACCTTCTCCCCTTCTCCAAAGCCACAGAAGCTTACTTTGAAAATCACATCGAAAATCACAGTTCACCCAAAGACCAGCACTAATAGCATCTAAGTGTCGAAACCTATGAATCTCTTTTTCCAAGTATAGAGAGGTTGGTTCTTCTTTCTTAATTTTGTAACATACTGTAGTCATGTTTCTTTTTCTACGTAGACATGCCACGTAAATATTTTTCCACATGAGTACAAATAACACACTAACTACATAAAATCTGAGGTCTAAGAAAGTATGATAGGCATGTTGTGCCTATGGAAGTGTCTTACTTTTCTGTCCCTTTTCTAGTAGAACTGTTCTTTTTATATATATATGTTTGTGTGTGTGTATACACATACATATGTAAATATATGTATGTGTATACACACATATATACACATATGTACATACATACACACACACACAAAAAAAACATGAAAATACTTTACAGAGCTGGCCAACTGAATTCAAACCACATCTCCAGTACTCACTTGGACAACAGTCTCTCCATGCCTTTCTCTGAAAATATTGTCAGGAAAATGAAATATGCTGGCAGAGTATTGTCAAACTAGAACAAAGCAAGTAGATGTTAGTCCCCTACTATTCCCTGTTCATCCCTGTTGTGGGTGTTGCTTATTATAAACGAATGTCCTTTGGTGTCCAGGGCTTCTCCATTTCTGATTATTTCTTAGTATTATTGCTAATTAAATTACAGGAACAGTCTTAGTATTATATCAGGCTAAGTTGCCTGTGAAAGGGTTTCAGCAGTTTATTCTACAGTATTGTAGAAGAGCCTGTTGGGGGGATGAAGTAGAGTAGGTCGCTCCAGGAGCAGTCATTTTTACCCACCGTGCCAGTCAGAGTCAGTTCAAACAGTCGGCAGCCATCTTGATTCCATTACCATCTCCTCGTTAAAGTCAGATGTGTAGCTCAGAAGATCACGTGAGAATGGCAAAGGGCACATCTACAGGCTTGTTTCTCATAATCTTCTTTACAGATTTCTTCCTTAACATAACCACCTCAAGTTCCAACCATGTTGTCCAAAAGGCAGTATTTTATCTTGAACCCTAACCTCCTACCTCAATCAAATGTTAACATTTTCTCACTTTTTTGTTAAACTAATCAGCTATCTAGATATTCCATGTGCCAGTTTTTTAATATATTCATTATCAACTTTATAAAGTTTCTAATTCATTGAAAAATTCACACATTCTTTCTGCCTATGTTGTTTTTTCCTTAGCTTCTTAGGTTAAATATTTAGTTTGGTTGTTTTTATTCTGTTATTTAATTTCAAGAGCATTTCATGCTATCTGCACTCCTATGAAAAGGATTTAAGATGCTTTTCCTATTTTTATAGGTAGCATTCCCATATCATTAATTTTTCATGTTCTATAATTACAGTCTAGGTTTCCTCCTTGACTCACAAGTTATTTAGAATAGCCAAGCATGATTTCCGGCATGGTAAATTGAACTACTTATAATCCTTCT